CAAGCTCCATTTGTCACAAGGCAAATACTGGGGACAGGGATGCTGTGTCCTGGAAATCATGGGAATAGGGATGCTTACATAGTATGAGTCCCAGCCTGGAAAGCAGAGCCCTGTAGAAGTGATACCTGTCTGCAGCATCACAGGCTGTGACAGCTATACTGCTGGGGAGTGGGGAAGAGGGTCTGAAAAAGGCTCTCAGGGAGGGCAGATTTTCCTGCCAGAGTCCTGTACAGAACACAGCACTCCTGAGATGCCAGTTTGGAATTCAGTTGCTTCTGCACAAGGATGCAATCACAGCATCCTGGTAGGGTAACAGCACCATCTACTGCTGCAGGGTCCAGAAAAGCTTCCTCCTGTTCCCTAGACGTGTGATGTTTTCTTGGCCTGGCCATACCCTGTAGCAGCCCTTCCTCCATGAGCTGCACATGGGAAAGTGACATCACATCAAGGGCAGAGGTATGGGCAGAGAGGTTTCACCCCCAGTGGAACTGAGGGCAATGGACATTCAGGAAGCAGAACAGCTTCCCTTTCCCTTTCCCTTTCCCTTTCCCTTTCCCTTTCCCTTTCCCTTTCCCTTTCCCTTTCCCTTTCCCTTTCCCTTCCCCTTCCCCTTCCCCTTCCCCTTCCCCTTCCCCTCCCCCTTCCCCTTCCCCTTTCCCCTTCCCTTTCCCTTTTCCTTTCCCCTTCCCTGTCCAGGCACCTCCTGTGCAGGTCTCTGCTCTCTGCCATGGAGAAAGAGCATTGGCTTTATTTATTTAAACCAAATAAAGAGATTTCTCACTTTATTTGTGGCAAAGTTGGGAAATTGAGCTGCATCATGCATAGCCCAGGTCACAAATCCCTTCTACCTGTCTCTGTGAGTCTTACAGACCCCTGGGTGGGCTTGCTGGAGCCCAGGAGCATTGCCTAGGGGTAGACACTGATTTTGGGGAAGGGTGTGTTGTGGATGGATCTTCCTATGCTACTCACGTTCCTGAGGCTAGGACAGGAGGTTTGGACTCCTGTCATCCCCATCTCACCCTGGTGCTATTGAAGATGAAGGGATCTGTTTTATTCCCTATTTGCTTCCCTTGACTCCACTAAAATTGTAAAGGACTTTCACCATGGACCTCAAACACCAACTCCATGTTTGCCCTGGCTGCAGGTGGACTTTGAGTGAGAAAGGATCATGGATGTAGGGCAGGAAATTGGAGGAAATGTAAGAGAGCTCCCCAAGCACAGAGCACTAAGCAGGTTCATTCCATGGGCATGGCAGAACCATGCAGCCTTCCTTTAGGAAGTGGTGGAAAGGGACTTTCCTACTCCCTCACTCTGGTGCAGACAACAGGATCTCCTGGGAAACCACCAGTTGGAGCAGAGACCATAGAGCCTTGCTGCTGATGTTTAAGTAAGGTGCATGAAGATTATTTGAAGTGAGATGGAAAAAGACAGAAGCTATCCAGCAGGGACCTGGCTGGAGAGAGGGGCAGACATGAGACCTATCTCGTTCTCTGCTGAAATGAATGTTCTTGCCCACTTTCTAGGCCATGAGTTAGTGCCATGGAGGCCTCAAGAGCCCAGGACATACCTGCCTTTCAGAGAGTTCAAACTGACATGGGAAAGGTCAGAGGAGAGCTGTGGGAGACCCTCCATCCTCATGGCACACTGTGGCTATAATGGATGTAGCCTCTCAGGGCACAAGGAGCTGATGCAGAGCTCTCCATCAAGCAGCAACACCAGCAGTAGAGCAGAAGGGATGACCTGGCCACCAGCACACACCAGCACACACCAGCTAGAGGATGAAAATTGAACCATGAGATGGAAAGGGCTGGAACGGCCTCTGTGCAGCAAAGCAGATCTGCCCAGTCAGGTTATACAAGGGGCTTTGTGCCATCATGTCCACAGCCACCTCCAAGACACAGGAGATTCTGCTGTGTGTTCTTAACTGCTGGAGTGCTACATATCTCCTGACTCATCAGTCTTGTATCCCACCCTACCCTACCCTACCCTACCCTACCCTACCCTACCCTACCCTACCCTATCCTATCCTATCCTATCCTATCCTATCCTATCCTATCCTATCCTATCCTACCCTATCCTGCCCTATCCTACCCTATCCTACTCTATCCTACTCTATCCTACCCTATCCTACCCTATCCTACCCAATCCTACCATCCATCATTGTGCTGCTGAGCACATCAACCCAGAGCAATGCAGGTGACCACAATCACAGAATCACAGAATGGCCAAGGTTGGAAAGGACATCAAGGATCATGAATCTCCAACCCCCCTGCCACATGTAGGGCCACCAACCTCCACATTTAATACCAGAGCAGGCTGCCCAAGGCCCCATCCAACCTGGCCTTGAACACCTCCAGGGACAAGCACCTCTGAAGTTGCCTAACTGCTTGGGTCTGTCTGAACATACCACTTGTGGCTGCACATTGTCTCCATCCCAGCCAGGAACAGGTCAATAGGCTCAGTATGCCAGCCCTGACCCAAGCACATGTTCATTTGGGATACAATGGCTGGGGGTCAATGGGACCTGTCCTGACCAGGAGTTGAGTTGGGTCCCATGCTTTTATTTGCTGTCACTGCGTGGTTTGGTGACCACATCTCATCACCCAAAGGCACTGACGGTTGAAGGAAATCCTCATTCCTCTTTCACCAAGGAGAAGTCAAACAGGGAACACAGTGCACCCGAGATGACATCACCCCACAGGGCTACACACAGAGAGAGCCACAGAGAGTTAATTTTAGCTGGTATGATGCTGTGTTTTAAATTTAGGAGTAAAAAACAACGTTGATAACACACCACTGCTTGAACTGTTGCTGAGCAGTGCTTACACTAAGCCAAGGACTTTACAGCTCCTTGTGCTGTCCTGCCAGCCAGGAGCTGTGGATGCACAAGTTGCTGGGAGGGGGAAAAGCCAGAACAGCTGAGCCAAACAGGCCAAAAGGGTATTGAATGGCATGTCATGTAATGCTGAACAGTACATGTTGGGGTGGGGAGGAGGGAGCTGCTGCTGCTGCTCAGGGGCTGGCTGGTATTGGTCGTTGTGTTGTCTGCTGGGCACTGCTTGTTTTGAATAGATATATGTATATATCTACACACATATATACATTTATTCTTTATTATTATTTTCCCTTCCAGCTGGAAGGCCGCACGGAGTCCCTCCGTCCCTCAGCCCCACGAGGTGGCAGCAGGAACCCACGGATGGAGAATTGAGTGACGGCCAGGTCAACCCGCTCCGAGTGCGGGGCTGTGAGATGGGATCTGGATTGGATGGGCTCCCATGGGAGGGGTCCTTCCTGGGGTCCCACCCCGGGCTGGTTTTCTCCCCCAGCATCTTCATGAGGGACAAAGCAGCGTCTCACTTCATTCCCAGATGACTCACTGAGATGTTCCCCATCACACAGACATACCTGGGGGCACATCCTCTCTCAGCCTCAGCGTCCTGGCCAAATTACTTTGACAAAAAGGGGCCCCGTGTTCTGATTGTGACCCTTCCCCGGAGCCTGGCACTGTGCCCCCGCCTGCCCCGTCACCACGGGTCGGTGCAGGAACCAGAGGTTCTGCAGAGTATGGGGTGAATGTGGGGGAGCTGAAATGAAATGGGGCACATGATGGGAGAGGGCTGAAGCACAAGGCTGGATGCTCCCAGGGGGAAGGACCAGTTCTGGTCAGCCTGGAGCTGGTGCAGGAGCAGAGTGGGGAATTAATCTCAGCAGAGGGGCTAACATGAAGCTTTCCCATCTCTTTTTTCTTTTTGTTTTCTTTCTTTCTTTTTTTTTTTTTTTTCCTAACTGCTTCTTTAAGACAAATAATCTACTCTCTTGAATCTGGACTAGGAAATCCAAATCCCTCCCAGTTCTAAAGAGCGTTTTCAACATCTATTGCTCCCAAAACACCAGGCTACTCTGGATGCTGGTTCTCAGATTAAAGGGCAGTGGAATCATCTCATCCCCCAGGGCTTGGCCCTCATGCTCAGCTAACACGCACACACCTCCCATCAAGAGATGTGGACAGTCCTGACGGACAAGGATGCTGAGCTCATCTCACCTTTGCCCTGGTCTGTGAGCCCACTGTCCCTTGCTGATGAGGTCTAAACCCAACACGTCTGGCCAAAGGTCTGCACAGAGCCAAGCTGAGGGACCTCACTTTTCCAGACACTCCCTGATTTTCCTTGCTGAATTCCCTATGCCCCACTGAGCTGCATCCACCCACAGCCCTTCTGAGCCCTCCTCCTCTCCTTCCAGCCCCATGCACTGCCTTGGGATGCTCTGCACCCATCCCACAGCCCACACAAGATCTGTCAATCCCAGTGACATTTTCTTGACCTGTTACACCCCACCCTGCTCCCTGCCTGTGTCCCTGGTGCAGCACTGGGTATCACTACAGCAACAAACCAAAGCCCAGAGGGATGGCCACAGCCTCATCAGGGCTCCTGGCCACCAGCAATGCCTGTGTCAGGCTGGATCCTTTCCCTGCAGCAGGTGGATTCACAGTGATGTAAGAAGGTTTTAAAGTATATCCGTGGATTCATCTTCTCTCCCTCTCCTAGTAATGGATTCAGGATGTTAATTAATAGCTAACTGCTTAAGTCTTGCATCTATCAAATGTCTCAGCAAGGAGCCTCCAAGTGTTTTGCAGACACTGGTTACCATCCCCTGATTGGAAGCAAGGCAACCACAACCCAGAGCAGCTATAGGGACTTGCTGGTGCTCAAAGCCTGGGGCAGCATCCCCAGCAGCCCTGCTCCAGCAACCGACCCACCCTGCTCCTCCTGCCACTGGACTGCCTCCAAGCTGCGGCCTCTTAGCAAACCCTGCAGGCAAGCTGCCTATAAGTCAGAGCCCAAGGCGGGGAAACAAAGAGTTAACCAATATCCTGATGGGCTGGTGAGCTCATCAGAGCTGGGATATGCTCCACCGTTCATTAGACTCAACAGAGCCCAGTAGACAACATTCAGAGGGCTGCAGGGCTGAAGGCAAGCCTGGGTGAGGAGGGCAGGGTGCCCTGCTGCAGCCGTTCCATCTGTGCCACCGTTGGTGGTGGGCAGCCATCGTCCGCCCCCCCCCATGTAAGTAGGATGGATTTCCATGGGTTTGGTTCTGGGGTGGCAGATGCAGCGTAATAAGGGTGGGGGTCATCCTTTTGCTGAGCCCAAAAAGGGGTTCAGGAGTGCTCTTTGCTCATCAAGGCTCTGAGCACATCAGTGGGGCCAGCCAAACTCCGGGCGATGCTGAGAAGCTGCTCCCAAGGGATGCAGGAGGTTGGGCCCAATCCGGCTCCACCACACCAGCAAATGGACACTGGCTCCAGCTTGGCTTACATCCTGGATGTGGTGGGGCTTGGAGGAGGTGTACGATCCCCTGCCACCAAGCCTCGTTCCCCCAGCCCTGTTCTCAGAGCAGAGCCAGCCTGTCCACAGGGCCAGCACCAGCCATGGTGAAGTACAGGAAGGGCAGGAGGGAGGATGGGGCTGTAGGGTGCTTTGTGCTGACACACCTCCATCTCCTTCCAGAGAAGAGCCTGCTGAGCCCAACGGGATCTGTCCCTCTCTGTGCTGACCCATGGGAAGTGGAGCACCCTGAGCTCCCTGCTGCTTTTTCTGTGCGTCGGGGGATGCTCGGTGCAGCCAGACAGAAGCAGAGCTCAGCATGGTGAGTTGGCGCTCGGTCCCCCCAGGTCCCCTGTGTGACCCCCACCTGCCCCTCTGCTGGATGCTCCTCAGCCCCCCTGGCCATGGGGGTCTCGCACTGCTCACCGTCCTCATTTTGAGAGGGCCCTGGGGATGCTGGCTCACAGATATGCACCGCTCTCTGATTACTTTTGAACCTGATTGATAGATGCTGAATTAAATTTGGCTGAGGCATGGCATCTTGACAAGTTTCTGCTAAGAGCTCGCATGTACCTGTCCACGCAGCCTCCTTCCCCAACCACCCCACCATCCCACATGGACTCTCCGGAGCATCTGGTCCCTTGTCCCTGCAAAGAGTGGGACAACTGTGGTCCCACGATTGTCCCTTGGGGGGTCCTGTAGAGAGGGCACAGCCAAGAGTCAGACTGAGGCACCCCAGGACATAGGAAAAGCCATGCCCCAAAAATGTCCTTGGCTGGGCTGGGGATGCTCTGCTGTTCTCGGAGGGAACAGGGGCAGCAGTTAGGTATTGAGATAAGAGCAGTGTGTAAGAAGCTCCTGAAGAATCAGAGCTGTTTCCCCATGGGAAAAGGAGATGGACAGGCTGGGGACTTGTGGGACTAGATGCAGCCTTAGCATGTCCCTGGGTCTTCCAAGGGGCTCAGTCCATATCTGCAGGTTGGCTGTGGCACCCCAGGTCCTGGCTGCTCATCTGCTGCTCTCAGACTTGGAGGTGTCACAAGGATTTTTGGCCTCTGTGGCAAAAGACAGAGCAGACAGAGCAGAGAGCTGCTCCTGTGTGAACACAGAGATGGGCAGGAAAATTAAATCACTTGTAGCCAGATTTATTGGGGTCCTCAGCAAATGGGATTCTCAAACATCAGCGTGCAAAGCACTGGGAGAGCAAAAAGGGAGAAAGCATCACTCCTCCTTCTGTCAGGGATGGAGAAAGACCCCGGTATGAGCATTGCTTGCAGGAGCTGGGGCAGCAGTAGCCAGCCATGATATCTGAGATGTGCTCTGGAGGCATTTGCAAGGCAGCAAATGGTCATCTGCAGATGCTCTCCTTACAACAATAATTATTCAAAATGTGGGAGAAACCTGATAGCATTATCCTGCTGGGCTGCTCAGTACGAGCATCACGCATCTTCCAATGTGAGCACATCTGGGATGAATTAGGGATGGAGTATGGGCAGAGCAGGAGCTGAAATCACATTAGCTCTCCCAAGAGCTGCAGACACATGCAGAGCTTGCAACCAAACTCCTGGCCACGTGTAGAGAGTGAAATCTTTCTTGAGCAAACAGAAGGGAACTACACAGCACCTCATGCAAAGTGCTATAAAAATGATCAGCATCTGAAAATTGTGGTGAGAGGAATGGTTATGCCAGAAAATAAAAGGGAAAAACAAATCCAGACTAGTGCAAATGTAAGCCTGGAGGGAAGAGCAAGGTTTCTGCAGGAGCCCACCATTATATCTCTGCAAAGTGGAGAGGAAGGTGCTCTGCAGGGCTCAGTGTATCCCAATGGTAAGCAGGGCATCGATGAGTAGGAGCTGGGAGCTGGGCACAGTGCTGGGGCTGCAGGCAAGGACCTGGGCAGCACAACAGGGCTGAGTGAATTAAAATCATACAGTGGCTTGAACATAAAAACTCTCCACAATGGATGCTAGAATAAGAGAAAGACAAGAAATGCCATGACTGTGAAGGAGGAAATCTTGGGAGTCACCAGAGGCCATAGCAGATCAGGATGGCAGGATGAGTGCCCTGCTCTGCCCCACCTCTCCTGGTTTGAAAGAGTAGGGGAGAGCTGCAGATGGGAGGGATACAAGCACCGAGCTCTGCTTTTATTTTTTGTTTGTTGGTCCAATTTTTGCAAATCTTAAATGGCACAAAATATGTCAGTGCCACCAGGTCTGCATTTCTGCAGCAGTGCTTGAGTGTTTCAGTAGTGGGAGTAAACAGAAAAAACTACATCAGAATAAACCACAAACCTGGGAAAGGAACATGGGTGAAAGGAAGAAGGGAGGTGTCAGCACCCTGGGGTGGGCACAGGGCCCAGCACAGCCCAGCTAGGGATTACCTGCTGTAATGGCCCAGGTAGGGATCATTAGGACCTCAGCTCTGGAGCAGTTTTGTGGCTGTGCGTGCCTGCACCGATGTGGTGCAAGCCTTAGCATAAAGCAGCAGCAGCAAAAAATAGGCTGGAGGCACCAGGCTCTGGACTCATCTCCTCTGCACCTCACCATAGCAAAGCAGGGTGCAAACCTGCAAACCCAGTGTGATAGCACTCGTGGTGCACGTGTTCCTGGGAGCGAGCTCTCAGACTGCTGTGCCTGAGGGCCTGGGCAGGGTTTTGGATGAACTGCTCTGGATGAGCATCGGGCTCACAGCCTGCACCGTGCTTAGAGCTGAGCTCAGCATGCCCAGCCCTGCAGCACGCTGGACCCTGCGGGCCTCCCTGCCAGCTCCACGTCCTGCTTTCCCCTGCTCCGATGAAACGGTGGTTAACATAATGCACTGCATTTCCCATTTATCATAATGATTTCCCCATGCTAAAGTCATGCTGTTTCTGGGAAAATGCATTTCCTCCTCAAGTAGGTGAAAATCTAATGCAGGGGCAGGGCTCCTGAGAGAGCCGCAGGGCTGACCCCAGCACTGCAAAGCACAGCACAGCGTTTGGCATGAGCTGAGATTCCTCCTGCAGCCTTCCCAGACCCACCCCTGCTGTGGGCTGTTTCCCCTTCCCCCAAGCCAGTTCAGGCTGCCCAGGGGCCACCCATGGCCTTGGGCACCTCCAGAGATGGGGCATCCACAGCTCTGGGCAGCAGTGCCAGGACCTCATCACCTCTGGGTAAAGAAGCTCTAAGGAAGGGACCTGCCCTAGGGCAGGTGTTAAGGTTAGGGGTGGGGAGGGCAGTGGGAGTCCCACAACAGGCAGGCAGCCCTCCTCCCTGCAGGATCCAGTCGCCTGTCCTTAAATGTGCTGCTCATATAGGTGTGGTGCTCTTCTCTCCCTGCAGCACAGCACCAAGCTTTCTCCAATCTTTAACTTGGCCAAGGGCATGCACTCATTGATGACTAGATGGACAGCACTCAGTCCATCCTCCAGCACCAGTCCTCTGCTCCTTTTTCTTCTGTCCACCCTAGGTCTCCTCCTCAGATCCCGCTGTCATGGAAAATCCCCCCCAGAGCCCTAATGGGAGCCTGAAGTCCCCCCCTTCCAAGGAGCTGCTGACCAGCAACACGGCCAGCACGCTGTGCATCAGCTCCCGCAGCGAGTCTGTCTGGACCAATACCTCCAGGAGCAAGTGGGACATCTACCACAAGCCCATCATCGTCATGTCCGTCGGAGCTGCCATCTTCCTCTTCGGAACAGTCATTACCACCTTGTCGTGCTTTGAAATCAAGAACAGGAATGTGTACAAAATGTGTGGCCCCGCGTTCCTGTCCATGGGACTGATGCTCCTTGTCTGCGGCCTCGTCTGGATCCCCATCATCCGCAAGAAGCAGAAGCAGAGGCAGAAGTCACACTTCCTGCAGAGCCTCAGGTCCTTCTTCTTCAACCGCTGAGCACCTCCCAGGAAGGCCCCCACCCCACTCCTCGTGTTAGCCATAAAAAGAAGCATTCTCGTGTACTCTCCTAGAGGAATTCATCCCAGTCCCTTCCCTATAAGACAGGACATGCTGTACCATCCCCAGCATGAAAGTGAACTTCGTATTTTGCCCAGGAAACCTCAGAAAAAAAGAGATAAGGACTTGATGGTGAGCCCAGTGCCCCGCATCACCTCACCATGCAATGGCCAACCCAACACATGCTGTGCAATGGCCAACCCCACATGTGCCATGCAATGGCCAAACCAACACAGGAAGGGGAAAGCAGAGCTTCTGGCAGCCTCCGTCAGCAGCTTTTGTAGGGCACAGCAGTGGAGAGGAGCCAACCTACCACGGTGTGTGTAAAGCTGCTGTGAGCACTGGACTTCACGTCTGGAAAATGGGATGTCCAAGGAGGTATCTCCAGAGTTACAGAGAGGGGCAGCAGGACAGTGTGGTCCCGGATCCCTTCACAGCAGAGACCACCAGGATGGGCAACACATGTCACCAAAGCTTGGGAAGATCAGACGTGGGGTCCATGGCTGGGAATTCCTCAGCGCAGATCTGCTATGGCAGCTGAGCAGAATGGCTGTGGGCCGGAGCTCACTCTGTGCTCAGGGTGCAGCACTCACACAGCTTCGCCTGAAATGAAAATTCCCAGTCTGAAAAACCACTCTTTCTGGACAACAAAACCTGGGTTAATATAATTGGGCACATGATATTCTGCCTCTAATTCTGAGTGGGACTCTGATTTTTCAGATCCAGCTCACCTCCCACAGCATCCCACCTGGGAAGACCTCAGCCCAGCGAGCTGTGGCTGAGTGCCTGGAGCCCCATGCAGGTGAGAACCCAGCTCCAGGGCTGGGCAGGACATGGTTTGATGCTGATCAGAGGCAGAAAAGGGGCACAGGAGAGGAGACCCCACCTGCACCTCCATGCAGCATTTCCACCCCCTCCCATGGATCACCCCCTTAAAGCAGTGGGACATTCCTGGGAATGAAGACAGACTGGTAAAGGCTGGTAAAGAGCTGCTGTAGCAGCTCTGCAACACCCTGCTCTGCATTAGGACAGTGGACATCAGCACAGAACAACTTCCTGTTGATTTGGATGCCACATCCCTCAGGAACTGCCACCACAGACATGCTGGGAGCTCCGGATAACACCAGAAGACCCACTGAAAGCAGAGATTGGTCTGCAGATATGGCCCAAAGAGCCCACAGCTCAAAGCCTCATGATGCTCCCCCTGGGATGGGAGTAAGGTTGGCGGTATGTTGGCTCCCCTGTATGATGGGGAGCAGCAGAGGCAGCTTCTGGCCTGCAGCTAGCACGAGATGCACGTGCTCGAGGAACACATCCTGCTGACCCAGCTTGGCTGTGCCCCGAGTTGTGTTTCCATGCAGTGCACACGTGTCCCCCGCTGGTGCCAGCTGGTGAACGGGTTGTTGGAGGTGCGTGGTCTGGCAGCAGACCCAGCAAACCTCCTCCTGCTCCTCAGTCATTCATCCCTCTGAGCTGTGCTCTGCTGTTATTTTCGGTGCTGGCTTGGCACCACGCTAGTTCTCTATTGATTCAGCTGCAGTGGGCACAGGCTCACCCCAAGCTTCTGCCCAAGGATGAATGCAGCCAGAAAAGCAGGTGAGCAGCAGGGCTGGCATGGAAGAAATCACAGAGCAGTATGAGGGACGGGGACACAGAGTGGGGTCCTGTACTGCACATCTTATAACCAAGGAAACAACTGGTGAAGTATCAATGGGATAAGGAGTCACTGAGATCAGAAATGTAACAGGATTCCATGCTGGTTATTTGTAACAAGAATATTTGATTTAATTAAAGCAGAAATATCTCAAGGGTTTCACCTTGCTGCTGTTGTGCTTCGTGCCTGCTGCAGGAGGGGAGCTGGCTGTCCCTGGGGTGTGACAGGAGGCAGACCAGGAGGGCTGAGGCCATGGGTTGGCCTGGGGCTCTGTGCTGGGGTCTGCCCAGGGACCCACCCAGGACCCTGCATGCGAAGGTGGCACAACTTCTTGTCAGCAGGGGATGAAGACTGCACAGATGAAGGTTAGGGCAACAGCCCAGGCAGGGGTCAGCAGAGCTTGGGTCTGCTTGTCTGAGCTGTAGGGGTCAGAGAGGTAAGTAGTAATTGAAGGCAGAGCTGGATTATCAGGCTGAAGCTGAAGGTGTAGACAGAAGCCCAGCAGGAGGGTGGGAACACTCCACTGTATGAGTGATCAATGCCTGAGTGATACCCAGAGGCTGGGTGGGATCTGCATTTATGTGTGCAGTGCAAATCAGTCCCAGCAGTGGGAAATGTTGTTCACAAAGGCTTCACTGGAAGCTGACACCAAGTGCGAGCCCTGACACAGCCCAGCCAACATCACAGGGCCTCTGAGGAGAGAAATCTTGTCTCTGTGCTGCGCCATGGGATCAGAGAACCTCTGTGTCACACTGCCTTGGGAGGCTGCAGGGATGGGAATTGCCTCTGGGTTCAAAGCAGGGTTAGGACAGCAGATTCCTAAAGGGATGATAAAAAGAAGGGGGCATCCAGCACCGTGTTAGACGGCCATCCCCAGGGCACCTCCTCCTGTCACTGCTGGGGCAGCACACAGCTGAGGCACCCTAGGTCTGCACACACAGTTCTGGTGCCTTCGGGCTGTTCCCACGTATGCACAAAGCACAGCTTTGCTGCTCTCTGTGCTCATCTCTTCTCCCCCTGCAGCCTGTTTGAATCCCGCTGGGATGCTTCAGATCAGAATAAAGAAACCAGACACATGTTGTGAAGAAAATACTGGATCAGGCAACAACAGCAGTCCTGACCAACTCTCATTAAAGCTAGGTCCAATGTGATCTGCTTCCATGCTCTATAAAAATAACAGGAAACCCGTTATGAAATTCACTACGTCTGCAGAACAGTTTGGAGGGGGAATGTTCCCCAGTGTGTCTGGGTGACCCCAGCGCTGTGAGCCTGGAGCTGGTGGGACGCTCCCCAAGGTGCTCCCCTCTTAGCACCCTGCAGGGCAGCATCCTACTGGGTTGAGCTGTCATCTCCCAGAAAATCCCCCCATAAAAACCCCAAATCTTTCCTATTTCAGTCCACAGCAGCGTGAATACAAACCAAATTTCACCCACACATGGCAGAGCCCATCAGTCCAGGCATTGGCTCAGTGCAGCAGAGGATTCCGTGCCATGCAGACCTATCACGTGTGTGCCCCCAGCAGCAGCAGCAGTTGGGATTTTTCCTCTTTTTATCTGAGTTTCCATAACTCAGCCTGAACGACAGCAAACACCCCGTGGGCACGGCTCACCATTAGCTGTGGTCAGACACGTGGGGCACAGAGCCAGGAGAGGAGGGGCCTTTGAAGGGGGCGGGGTCAATGGAATGGGCGTGGCTCTGAGAAATGGGAGGGGCTTGTGGTTGTGGGCGTGGTCTGTTGTGTGAGCGGGCGGGGCTTCGTGCTCCCCCGGGGCAGGCAGTGCTGTGGCTGTGCTGGACTGCAGGGCTCCGCAGAGGCTGATGGAGAAATTCAGCTCCTCCATCCTCGCCCCATCCCATCCCATAGGTAACAGTGCCCCACAGAAGGCCCCGAGGGTCTGTGGGGGGCACCGTGCAGCTCTGCCCTGCAAGCAGGTGGGAAGTGGCAATAGAAAACTATTTCCTGAAGAAACTGGGATGGAGAGACTCAGTCAGCGGGAGCCAGGGCTGTGGGTGCATGCTTTTGTGGTCCATGGAGCAGTCTGTGCTCTCCGTGCCCATGGAAAAGAGCTTGGCTTGTGCCAGAAGGTTTTCCCCTCTTCTGTTCCTCTCCTCTCACCTCCTGTGCAGAATTGGCCAGTGTCACTGATGCTGGGCAAAGTCCTTGGAGGTTTCGCCCAGGTTTGGCTGCAGCCCAGCCACTGCCTGCCTTTTGGGTGCAAGGAAATGTTTTATTAGAAAGTGCTTTCATTTCCTTTGCTATAAAGCTGAGCACAGGTATGGGAAGGACAAATGTTTGCAGAGGTGAAGAGAGCTCGGAAAGTCCCTGCTGGGTGCAGACAGAAAAACCACGGTCAGCCCCCCAAGGCTGTAAAAGTAGGAAGCAGGGTGAGACATGAGAACTTGAGTCTGGAAACCGTCCCTGCAGCTGCTCTCAGTGCAGGTTCAGGTCTGAGCCAGCTCTCACCTGCTGAACCCACTACAAGGCTTTGCCCTGGGGAAAGCAGCCACTCCGTGCCCTGTTTTAAGGATTTGCCTCCCGACTTTGCAGTTAAATAAATATTGACTGACACCTGCTAGCCCAAGATTTTGTCAGAGTGCTTCCATTCATCTGCTCACGTTCCAGCTGCGCCCAGCTCATGTGTAACTGAGGGACGTGCACTCATTGTTCCCTTTGGAGAACTGGTTCACTCTTGCTGCATACTTCTGCAAACCTGTACAGGGCCACCTCCGGGAGCATGCTCTGCTAACATCATCCTTCCAAGTGCAGCAGAACTGGGCTAGAAAAAGGCAGAAGAGGTAGGCAGTGGTCTCTGCTTGATTTTATTTATTTGTTTTTCAATATCTTGGGGAATGAAATGCAGATGTCTGCAGTTTTCTTAGCTGATAATTGGAGGTGAATGAACTTCTGGAAACCTCTGGGTTCCTTCCCAGCCTGGGGGAGTGATTTTATTTCGTGTGTCGCGTTTCCGTGAGCGCTATCGCAGGCAGATCGCTGCTCTCATGCACTGGTAGAACTCAGCACCACGGAGCTGCACCCAGATGAGAACATTTCCCACAGGGCAAATCCCAGATGGGCTTCTAGCATCCAACAAAGTGCCATGCAACATCAAACCTGGGGGAAAACAGGAAGCTGCCATTGCCAGCTTGGTTTCTTGCTCTAACTTCCATGAAACGCAGCCCAAAAGAACTCTTTCTGGCCTGATGGGATCGAGGTGGCACAGCTTTTCAATGCATGGGGCTGGGCAGGCCAGGGCTGACTCCAGCTCTTTACATCAGTCCCACCTCC